ATATAAAATAGTAAAAGTGAAATTAGCCTACTGAAATACCTTTATGATATAAAATATTATCTAAGTTTCTTTGGCTGTGAATAATAATGTTTACGTTTTAGATGTTGTCGCTATGTCCATATTGTTGCCTGTATGTTTCATTTTCAAATGTTAAAAAGAACAAACATTTTTTTTGTTACTATTAGTAATATATACCTACGTACAAACATTGAGACCAGGCTGGATGTAGAAAAATTTAGAAAAACAAATGCTTGTGCAAAGATCAGAACATCAAAGATGAGTTTGTTTCCTTGTAGGCACAGTGAGTGTTTCCTGTAACTCACAGAGATAGTTTGATGTCACTCGTCCAGTTGCATTTTTCAGCTTCTAAATATAGAAAGAAAGCATTCAAAGATGATACACAAATGTTACTCACAGTTACAGTCAGAAAATCATGATAAACCCCATTATTTATTAGTTAGAATAATAATCCTGCTGAATGCTGCTTAGGAAGCTTCAATTGTATTTTATCTGACGGTCTTGACAACTTTGTAAAACAAATATTCATCCTTGATCGGGTTTTTGCACATGCTGGGAAATTCCTGTAGAGAAAAGAAACTAAGCCCAACCCCAGGTATTAAGTTCTATTGAACTAAAAACATCTGGCATTATCATGACGATACCAGATGAACGCATGCTTATGCCAAGTGAAGATGACAACTATTATTTACCCTCATCGTTTTAAAGAAAATAACAGCAGGGGTTGGAGCAATAGTTTTCATGCAGCTCTTCTCCACACAACAACAATTCAAAGTGAACAAAATTTGTCAAGCTCCGAATTACATATTTCAAAACAGAAAAAAAGTGAAGGCATATTCAGCATTACCATTTTTAGTCTTCATTTAAGTGGATTTTCTATTTCATTTTTTAGGCTAATTCTAGTTTACATGACAATCTACAACATTAAGAGAACTCAAAACTCACGGAAGAAAACAAATGTGACAATCAATTTCAGTCTTTGACTCACAAATAACTTTTTTTGAGTTTTGTGCTCTAAAGTAAAAAGAAAAGTCACGTTTTAATAATGTTTATGTTGCTTCAGTGCAACATTTAGTCTTTCTGTGGTTAAAAGTACAAAAACCTTATAAAAGACCAAGGATATGATTTACGCAACTGTTGCTGTTCAAACTCTATTGCTGATATTCTCCTAATAAACACTGTCAGTGACCAAACTGTTTATCTTATAGACAAGCCTATATTTTTTATTTTTATTTTTTTTATTTGGAGATTACATCTGTAGCTGGAATTCAGATATAGATTGCATTGAAGACATTTCGTTGGGAGGAATTTCAGCCAGTTAGCCTTTTTAGATAAATCAGCGTTTCCGTAAAACCAGATACTTCACACAGACTGCAGGTGTGTAGGAATATTCATTTATATTTGTTTAAGTGTCTCTCAATGTTTTGACAGGGCTTTTTTTTTTACATAGATGATTTAATGGGTATGTACAAAAAAATAAAGTGTTTAAAATTAAAATAACATTCTGAAAAGTACTGAATTGTTTTGCTGTAAGCAGACTAGAGAGTGACGGTGAAGCTCTTCTGTGAAGAACACATTTTAGATAAGTGATCACCATGAGTATCAGGTGAGTTGAAATTCAAGTGCCTTTCTATAGGAGGTAAAATGACTATTTTAAATCTAATTGTAAGTAATTGTTAAATTGTTGGATTTGGAACCGCATACTAGCATATTACTCTTACTAATTTTTTACTAACAATATCGTTCTATGGCCTAAATAGTAAGAGAAGTATGATAGAAGGTGGCTCCAAGAAAGGCGGATAGCAAGAAAAATGAAATAAAGGATAATTTAACTAGCTGTAAAGTGTATTGTGGCGCCATCTAATGGATTGAATGGTCTTTACCCAGAATAGAAAAAGAAAATGCTTTGATATATCAGTTATTCAGTTATGTGTAAATTCATAAGCAACTATAACTTGTCACCGATTAAAAATAAATAAATATGTATTATTTAACCTTGTAAAGCTTGTTTCCGCCACCAAATAAAAATAAAAAAGGTAATTGTGACGTTATATCTCAATTCTGACTTTTTTCTTGCAATTGTGAGTGTACTTCTCACAATTCTGTTTTTTTCGCAGAATTGCATGATATCAACTCCCAATTAAGTGTTAAAATGTCAGAATTACAAGATATAAACTCACAATTCTGACTTTCTGTTTTTCTCAAGATGGCAAGTTTGTATCTCGCAATTCTGAATTTATATTTCGCAACTGCGAATTTTCTTCCCACAATTCTGGCTTTATAGGCTCAATTGTGAGGTTATATCTGAAGACAATACAATTCTTGAGACAATAAGTCAGAATTCTGAGTTTATATCTCGGAATTCTGACTTTTTTTCTCTCTCAGATTAGTGAGGTGAGCTGTGAGATTAAAAGTTGCATGTTTTTTTTTCTTTTAAATCCTAACGAGCTTCCACATTTAATTGAATCTACGCTAACTGCTTGCTGAAATAACCACAACACTGAAATAAGAGGGCAATATGGAAAGAAAGAAAGAAAGAAAAAGTATTAGCTATGTTTGCATTTTAATTAAAATGAAAATAACATAAATACCCACACCTTGGGTACCTGGTCCTAACCAGACCAGGTACCTAATTTGCCTAAAGAAACTTTCCAATTAAATTAAAAAAGACAGTTAAAGTTAAGGTTCCCATTGAGAGCAAGTCATGGAAGCACAGGAAGGCAACGACCTGCACCGTCTGTGAGGAAAACTGCCATGAGTTTGACTGCTGGTGGGGTTCAAATCCCAGCAAATGTGAAGTCATGAAAAATGGTTTCTGCACCGTGTGCACAGGGCAGTGTCATCACAGCAAACACGTCAAAGAAAACAAGAAATACGTCATCAGAACCTCAAGCATGACTATGGAGTTTGACAATTATAAAAATAAACATGAAAAAGCCCAAGAAGAGTCTAGGAGATTTTCAGTCATAATGGATGATATTGACAAAGATTTGAAGGACATTGAAACCCAAAAGTCAAATCTTCTGACCGTAGCTTACCAGACCATCAAGCATCTGTCTCAGATCACATTAAAACCAGACTCTGCCTTCACTCTTCAGCATCTCGACTTCTTCATCCCCAGAGTGAAGGAGGCTGGGAAAGAAGACTGGGTGTGAGAGCTGGAGGAAATGAGGAGAAAAGCTGAAGCTGATGAAACCAATAAAGATGCTCTGAGTTATCTGAAAGCTGGTCTGGCAAAACTAGATATTTTCTTTGGTGGGCAATGAACAAACCCAGTCCAGATGAAACACTGTGTACACTTTCTATTTTTTCTATTCTATCTACTTGTTTTTCTTTGTGTGTGTGTGTGTATAATAAAATAAATAAATAAAATAAAATATTTTTGCAGCGTTGAGCAATGTAGCCAATCACAGGCATATCTGTAGAGCGCAATGACCAATCAGTGGAGTGAGATCAGAAACCCACTCAAAACGGCAGTTTTCATTTAGCGTGTGTCCACTGACTACATCCTTCACGCTGGCAAATCCTTTATAGCTAATAAAACACAGACAACTTGTAAATAAGATATTCGTTATGCGCTTTAGCCAGATTCATTGATTAACGGGAGCTTTCGCAAGAGTGGAGAATTCCATGATATCACGATGCTACCAAGTAAGAGACAGCTCACTTTCTGTATATAATCCATTCACAATTTGAACAAGTTTGGTTTGTCACGCTGGCTGCTAAGAGGACCATCGACCATCGCAAAGATTTGTGAGTTACAACAGCATTTAAATCCAGCAGTGAATCCTCTAGATTTGGTTCTGTCAGTCTCTTTTTAAATTGCGGAGATTTGCATAGTGATAACCATTGCAACGGATGAAAAAACTAATTTCAAAATAAATCTGTGCATTAATCAAATCAGTCTTGACTGAATGCACTTAGTAGCTTTAATATGCCTCTATAATTAGATACTAAAACAGTTTTGTCTTATTTGTAATGCATTTCGTTTCACTAGTTGAGAAATGTTTAAAAGCTACATGCTAATGTTTTAAAGTAGCCTATTATAACTACCGCAAAGCAAGTGTACATTGCAGTGACCAGTCTCTCCATGTACAGACCAACATCTTATAAAAACATGCAGGGCGATGAGAGGAGAATATCTGAAAAACAAGACAAAGTATGACGGAAAAGAATCCAGCATAGTCATGCCAGTCAAACATTCTACATAACCAGTCAGTGAAGGAACATGCCACCACACCTGAAACACAAAGAAACCAGTATGCACAAGAAACTATTGTGCCAACACCAACAGCTATTTTCCAGTAGTTCCCAACACTACTGAAAGTGAAAGAATGATCTTACAGACAAATATTAGGATTGGATGTTATGTATTAAAGACAGCATACTGAGAAACTGAAAGTGCTCAATATACAGTTTACTGACTAGAGAGAACATGTACATGCAAAAACATCCAAAAACAAAGCTCCCTTGAGACTTTTCACAAATGAGGTGACTTTTCACACAGGCCTTTATCACACTTCCACATTTGAGAAGTGGAAGCTTTAAAAAGTAGCGTAAAAGAAATGCCACTTGCACGCGCTGAGTCACTCATGATTACAGCGTTTTCATTGTTGAACTCCATCTCTGCAAGTACTGTGCTTGACTTGCTTGTAACATGCATTTGAAACCGCAACATGTGCCAAACATCCTCCCATGTTTGTAATGACAATGATCTGTTGTCAACAAAAATCTTGAAAGAGGAAGAGCTTTTTTCTGTCTACCTTGAAGTTTTGGACAAAGTTTATGAAGATGATGTTTTCTCCAATCAGCGCGATGTAATAATAGTGTCCTCTCTTCATGAGTGTTGGGGTTTGTGGCTCCTGATGCACTCCAGTGAGGAAAAACCCACTGAAGGAACAGCTGAAGATGCACTTATCAATTGCAAACCAGAAACCTTTTCAGTAAAGCAGTCTCCATTCTCCATGGTCTATTATTACATCATGTCTGGAAACAATCTCCATGAGAAGGGACGCCTTACTGAGAGCATTGAGATGTTCACCAAAGCTTTGGAGGATGGTGCATCTGGAGAGATTATTCCTCTATATAATCGTGCACTGGCCACTACTATAAAGAAAGACAGTGGTTATATCACTCGAGCATTGGCTGACCTGGAAAAGGCTGACAAGGCTGTAGTTTCATGCAAATTATATCTGGCACAGATTATTAATCACATTAAACTACCATGTGCCAGAAACAAAAGGCAATACTATGCTCACAAAACAGTTTCAAACTAAGTTTATGATTGTAAATCTACTCAAGATGAACATTCAGGATGCTGGAATGAAGTTGAAGAGGGCTGTAAGCACAGGTGGAAATGTGAGACTGACTGAAAAACACCCACTTTTCCTGGTTGGACACATTATGCTCAGTTATCAAATACTTCCAGATGATCTGATGATGGAGCTTATGCACTTCTCTTTAGACACCATATTTTCTGTCAGTGGCCTTTTGTCAAAAGTATTGCAACTTTTGAAATAAGACAAATTGCTCAGACACCTAAACAAACACGGTGCACTCTCAGTTTTACATGAGCATCAAATACATCTATATTGTGCATATATCTAATGTATATTTCCTAAGAATTGTTATTCTAATCACACACGAGTTCTTCCTGATGACTCATTTCATACTTTATAATTTTGAGAAGGACATTTCAATTAAGAACTGAAAATTATTAGAGAATTTATAAATGTTGACACATTAAAAAGACTTTGTATTTAAGTGCTGTTGTATATTTATGTAAATAACTTCATAATATATTTTTGATCATATGCTACATGTATGCTCTACATGTAAATGCACAGATTTATATTTTGAATGTAATGCAATATAATGAACTGGTGTGAAAAACAATAAGGAAATGTTGAAGGGATAGTAAACACAAATAAACATGCACACACACACACACACGCACACACACACACAAATCTGATGTGACCTGTAAAGACTGTTGATACTTATACCTGGTTATGCCTAATTATCATGGCCAAACTTTGAAGACACAAACAGTAATATGAATTTAATATTTAGAATGGCCTGTTAGCTTCTTTGCCTCTTCATTTTTCTAAACATTCTTAGATAACAATTAGAGTATTAAAAAAAACTGTTTAAAAAAAAAATATTTCATGTTTTCTAGATAATGTTTACATTTAGTCAAACAAAGTTGATTGGTGCAAGACTGTACATATAATTCAAATCGATTTAAATATTTTATAAATTTGTTGATGTTTATATTTGGTTATGAATGTTAACCACTATAATGTGATCATGCACACCTGTTGATCTCTGAACTCCTTGTATAACTCCGGATGAGCACATGACAGATGCGTTGCGAGGTTTGCTGTGTTCCCTCCTGAAGCAGCTACATGAATTGTGGATTTGTTTGATAATTAATACTGTATTTAGCTTCTGTATCGCTGATTTTCAGTCTCCTGAGGGTGGTGAAATCTGCGTCCCTGTCACGTCACAGCGACTGAACTGCCAATTAATGAAGTGATGGGCACTTTTGAAGCACTGCTTCGTGAAGCTTCGAAAACTTAGTGAATAATTTCTTTCGAAAAAAGTGGTTCGGAGCGTGTATCAAACTGCCAAAGTCAAATGATTTCAGTAAACGAGGCTTCGTTACATCATAACTGTTTCGAAACGTTTTGAGATTTCAATGGTTTATCGACGAGGGTCGATGTTCTCTGTGAACCCCTGACTCATGCATTGAGATCTGAACCACTCAACCAGCGTCTATGGTTTTTATTCGATCTCGGATCAGTTTGATCAATTTGCAAACATTTTTAATGAGACATTTGCGTAATTAAAAGGATGAGTAGTAATTAATAGTCTCTTATTGCCCTGTATAGACAAGCTCTCCATTAAACAAACAAAACAAGCCCTGCAAATTATTAATAATTATTTTTAAAACACATATTATACAGACACTCCACATTTAATGGTATTTTATTATTTAAAGGCACAACATGTAAGATTTCCGTAATAAAATATCCAAAAACCACTTGCACAGTGCTATATACTGTATTTCATGCAGTTGTGTACTTACGTTATCCCAAAAGTTCCCAAGGATTTGTAAATCCAGAAAAAAATCCAGTTTTAAATAGTGGCTAGTCCCGGTTCATTGGGGAGTGCAGGGGTTTCCTCCTGAAGTCCACGGTCATCTCCACAGTTTTGAGCGTGTTGAGCTCCAGGTTGTTAAGACTGCACCAGACAGCCAGCTGCTCGACCTCCTGTCTGTAAGCAGACTCGTCTCTGTCTTTGATGAGGCAGATGAGTGTGGTGTCGTCCACAAACTTCAGAAGCTTGACAGAGGGGTCTTTAGATTTGCAGTCGTTGGTGTAGAGGGAGAAGAGCAGTGGGGAGAGAACACGTCCCTGAGGAGCGCCAGTGCTGATGGTGAGGGTGTTGGATGTGAATTTACCAATTCTCACTAACTGTTGTCTATCTGTCGTTAATGAACACACATTATACAGACACTTCATGTTTAATGGTATTCAACTATGTTATATATATATATATATACTGTATATACAAGGGTGCCCATAAGTTTTTCAGCCTGGTTCTCATATGAGAACACTGGAGATTTGGTTTGGTCCTCACACGGCACATGGTGTGACCCATCAAATATAACTATAAATAAATAAATTATTAATATTGATAATATTATTGCACTTTATTTCGTTTTTTAAAATAAAATAATAAACTAAATAATAAAGTGTAATAATACTATTTTATTTTAAAATAAAAAGGGAGTATTA